TTCACCACATTGGCTCACTTGCTTGACATGCACGGCGCGCTTCCAGAGCCAGCTCTAGCCTCGAGAAAGGAATGGGCGCCAATAACGGCGTGGGTTGTCGTACTAGCAGTTCACCAAACTGTGAAATCTGTCTTATTACGGTTAGAGTTTGCAGGTTACACATGATCAACGAGCAACTAGCCTAGTTCTGAAATCTTGAAAGCAAACTTGGACGTCCAGGTTTCATGCGCAAAATCCGGAACATACCTCTTTAACGCCGGCGTAATACTTGAGATCAAACGGAGACGCATATACGGCTTTCCTAGTGGGTAGGAGGTCATCTCGAGCAAGCTTTCTATCCACATCAACTACATCAAACTGGTGTCCTATTCCTGAAAACAGTCTTCCAAACAGCTATTATAATTGTGTTCAGGGTTTCCACAGTGCAGGAAACACTGGAAAACGCTAGTTCAATATAGATCCCTCGTCCAATGAGCTAATCTCAACGTTGCGGTCAGAGGATGACAAAACATGCTCGTACACGGCGTGGCGGGGAAGGGGGAGGGGGGGGAGAAAGAAGCTCCGGGGAACACTTTTGGTGAAGACCCTTTTCGGATTTGGGAACTGGTGACCTAGGAACGTCCAGCTGTTGGGGAAAGTTTTGCAAAATCCCTGTCAGAATTTCCTCCTCTGCTATGACCCCAATTCTTTCCCTCTCGCCTATCTACCATTTTTCCCCACTTACTACCACCTTCTCGGAGTTCTTTTTTATGAAAATTCCCCACTTTTCTCCTATTAGGGTTGCCTCGTGCGAGGGTCACACAGCAGCAGTCAAGCAAGAAAACCAACGAAAAGTCATCAAACGAAAACAATTTCCTCGGAAGCAAATAAGACCCCTCTACACCGACCAAAAACTACCCCTCCCCTTACAGATAACCCCAAAGATCCCTTCTCACGAAAATTATTTAGCAGCTTTCACGAGTGGTGGATGCTTTAGAGCAATAATTATATAGGCACTAACCAACTGAAGACTCGAAGCTTCCCACCCATATTTATCTATTTGAGCGAAGTTGATGTAGTGAAACATGTGCAGCACAAGCCTACTTACCTTCAACGTCCTGCAAAAGAATCACTTTCAATGGTCCTGCAGGTTTATGGGCTTCAATTTCAACAACTTCTAGCTTCATCAGATTTGGTAACTCCTGTGGATTCCGCTGCACTCGTCCAGGAGGCGTCGGATCAGGAGCGTACACTCTGCGGAGGATCCATGTGTTCTTAAAAGCAAGAAAATCCGACTTGGGATATCACCAGATAAACGAGCACTTCATTTAATGAAATGCGTACTCACCCGTGAGGCTTGCAAGGGCTTCCCGGCTGCCAATCCGACTCGTAAAGGAAATGCTGACCTCACCAACATACCTATAAATGTACCTGTATTGAAAAAAAATTAAAACAGCAATAACAGCCCTGAAGATGACAAAGGATTCAGAGAAAATGCCCCCGATTTGCAACGGATGACATTTGAGTCCTTATTAAAGGACGCAGGGCGCTTCGAGGTCTGCGGTCCCGCGAGAAGCACCGTAATTTCCGGCTCTACCTCCCTCGGCGGCCGGACGGATGTGATGGGTTGCCTTTTTTGAATGTTTACATGAAAAGTGTTGTGTTATTTATTTGTGTGGACGTCATTAG